ATGAAAAAAGCCCCAACTGTTTTGACAATAAAATTTTCAAAATAGGGATTTTATGAAAAAAGAAAAAGAAAAATAGAGAGAGATGAGTATTATGTCAAAACCTATATTCATAGAATTCGCCTTCCAAATATCTTCTCCATTTTTTTTTCCTTGGGGTATAATTTTAATTATTTTTAAATTAACAATATAAAATATTAATTGAAGACAACAGAAAAAGAAGAAAAAAAAAAATCATTCATTGCAAAAGAGTTCTTGAAGAAAAGTATTTTATAGAAAGAAGAATTTTCAGTAAAAATGATAATAGAGGAATAAGTTATATAAAAAGAAAAAATGACTGCCTCAGAGTTAATGATATGTTCTTGATAATAGAGGAATAACTTATAATAGAGGACAATACTTGCCTCGTATTATTAAGTCTGGGGCAGTCATTTTGTTTAACATATTATTGGTGAGTATGTTTATTCTACTGACCGATTATGTATTTCAACATATCAATTTTAATGAAGAAATAAAAAAAGTAATTGAAAAAAGAGTATAAACTTGGATCGACCCGTTTCAATTGAGTAACTGACAACTTGTACTCAAACCATTTTTTTTTTTCCTCTCTTTCATCCATCCCAGTTTCTCCATTGTTCTTTTTCTCACATGTCATCATCAATCAATATGCCTGTTATTGTTAATTCTCTTCCTATTGCATCTTCAATGGGTTTGTAGATGTACCTCGATTGGATTATATAATTTATGTTATTTATAACATCTAATGTGATATATACAATATTTTTTCCTAGTAAATAAACAAATCAATCAGCTTTTTTATTTTTTATTTTTTTTCAGAACTTAATCAACCAGAATTTTTTTACTAACACGGTCATAGCAGAAACTTGAAAAGCTGTGCTTGTTTTTCCACCAACAAAGCTATTATATCAATTGCATTTTTTATCTCTAAGCATACATATTCAACGGCAGATAGCCTATATACAAACAATTCGTACTAGAAAGCATATATGATCATAATAATAGTGATCAAATAAGTTAAGAAGTTCAACTTTAGGAAGTAAAGAAGCTGGAAAAGTAACCCCACAGCCCACCCTTGCCTATTGAGTGATATGAAGCTCAAGAGATTTTGCAAAAGTGCTCGCTTATTAATTGACGATGTTTCACGAAAGACGAGAAAAAGAATAATAGTGGAGCGAGGACGGTGTGAATTTGGGAAGGCGGTGAAAGAGAAAAAAAAAATACATAGGGTTAGAACTACTCAATTGAAGTGGGTCAATCAGGCTTTATTTTCTTTTTTTATTACATTTTTTTTTTTTTTGTCATTAAAACTGATGTGTCCACTTATTACTAAAACACATAATTAGTCAATAGAATAAACCTACTTACCAGTGAGCAGACAAATATTGTCCTTGCAAAAAACCCTCTTTATAAATATTTTTGGCCAAAAAAATCTCTAAAGGGGTGTTTTTAACCGATATCCGTTTAAATGACCGTCTAAAATATTTTTTCGGACCAAATTACCGCTTAACAGAATATCCTATCTATTTATAAACAATTTATTATTTATTTTTTCTCTCTCTTCTTGAAACACTATTGAGACTTGAGAGAGATTGCAAGATTTCCCTATTACCCACTTTCTGAATGCACTAATAAGTCCATGTTCAAGGCCTTCAAGTAAAAGCAAGACTTTTAAAATTCCAGGTGACCCAACATTGTAATTGAAGATTAATCTCTACTCGCTTCAGCAATTCATGTCATTATTTAAACAAAATGACTACTTCAGACTTAATAATATGTTCTTGTGCTTTGTAAGTCCCTGTCCTCCAACACAATTTATTAATAAGTACAACATTAATAAATGGCAATATTATACCAAATCTTGTTTACCATACTAATCTAGAGTTTTGAGATTATTTAATTTTTTCTTTTTTAAGAAAAAGAATATTTGGACTTGTCAATGAGTCATGGCCTTGACTAATCCTGATTTCTGACATTGAGCTGTCCGGCATATAATATTATTGCTATATTAGTATATCATCAAATTCAATAATATAATGGGGCCTATTGATTAATACAGTTAACAGAGCCAATAGAATTATTGAAAATTGGTTTTTTTTAAACTATTATTGATTCTTTGTTATCGTAGAATGATGGCTTTACAAAAATCATTTTTATAAACCAACTTGCACTAAAATTCTCTTCTTTTAATTTAATAATAGATTCTTTGTATCTCTCTGTTTTTCGATAATAAAAAATATTCTTACCTTCCAAAATACAAACACACACATATATTGATTTTTCGCCACAGCATAAATAGATAACAAAACTTGTACCTCCCTTAAAGAAAAAAAAAAAAAAAAAAAAAAAAAAAAAAAAAAAAAAGCACACATATACACACACACACACACACAAAGAAAAATATATATATTGAAGAGTGGTTAGAAATTTAGAATCCAGTGTAATTAAATACCACAAAATTCTCAACCACAAGCAAGCCTAAGAAAACACCTGCAGCGTTCACAAACCAACCATTCTCTTGGTAGTCAAACAAAGTTTAAAGGGTTTAACTAGTTCAAAGTTTTATAAAGACCTCACCTAACATTCCTATAAACGTGCTAAAAAAAAAATTCAGATCAAGAATGCTATTGATATTAAAGAATATGAATTAGATTAGACAAATTTTTTGATGGTATTCAAAGAAGAAACTATATGCATGGAAGAATGTATTGCAAGTTTTTGTGTGACGTGAATGAAAATCCCCCATGGCTATGTTTCTAATACTCGAAAGTTTGAACCAGTTTTTTTTTCAATTCCTAATCCAAGACGTCAATTCGATCCTCCCACACATAACAAAAAGTTATTTGTTAGTCCAAGCTATTTTCTCCCGCTAAAATCACAATGCTATGATCAAATCCAAGCTAATTACTAAGAACTCTAGAGCAATAACTGAACTGTTGTATCCAAGTGGCATAATGACACAAAAAAAATAGAACATGTAACTTTAAAAAAGGTTTAAATCAATGAACTGGAAAAGGGTCAAACTAGGTAAAAATTCAAAGTCACTTTCACTAGATATATGGTTCATGTAGTTGGACGCTTTTTCACTAGGAAATTTTAGTTCAGTATATTCTCTACATATGCCAGAATACATTATACAACCTCAAGGAACATGCAACAAGTAAAAACATCACTATCCACTTGCACTTATAAATCAAAGGGAAGCTGGGTTGTGAGGATCTGCACCGGCTAAGATTTAACGTTACCGGAAACAGCTGCATCGTCTACAAAATCTCAAACAAAACCTTCTAGGAGCCAATGCTCTTGTTTACGGAAAATGAAATGGGAACACATCGGTATGAACAAGGCCTACCTAAATCATTTTGTCTTGAAATGTAAGAATACATACATATAGTTACTTTCTATGCGAAACCAGAAGTAGGCATCTAATGGTTTCTATTATTCGAAAACAAGTTCGCTTCCTCATTTGTACGACTCTATTAAGGATAATGCTATTATAGTATTATATATATATTGTTTCTTGCTCTTAATGGTATATTATGAATTCATTTACAGGGTACTTGTCAGATGTACTTCTCTATGCAATCAAAAGAGTCACGCTTGTATATTGTCTGATATGATAAAGAATGGGTATGCAATGATATTGAATGAGGCATTATAACACACGAGGAAAATGGTGATAAGGAAACTCCAAGGGGAAAAAAAAAAAAATGTAGACGGCTGAATCCCAAGTGACAACTTGACCAAGCTAAGGGACGAGGAGGATGGAGCCAAAAGGCAGCATCTGTATGACTGTATCAAGTATACTGCTGTCTGTTAACACGAACTTCCTATGTCGTATCAGTCAAGGGAGAAAATGGAAAGAAAAGAAACAAAAGGAAAAAGATTGAAGTTGAAGTTAAACAAATGTACTGGGAATCATATTAAACTGATGAGTTCAGTTGTTCATATTAAAGTCGAATTCTTTGAATGGAGAAAGATTAGATGATGGTTTGAACAGAGTACTCCAGACAGGTGGTTAAAGTTTTTTAAACCAATTTCGAGGCTGAAGATATGTAGCTCACAGGAAAGAAAGCCAACTCAAGATAGTGTTCTCTCTTTTGGGGTTTCCTTTTCTATACTAGCACTCCATACTTGACAGAAAAAGACATATACAAGACAGACATGGACTAAATCCAATGTTTAGAGTTCAGACAATTACTCAACATTGTTGTAGTTCCATGCACTAGATGTGTGTCACCCAACTGGTGTCATTAACATCCTAAGAAGATTTGAATTACCAAACTCTATTGACTAAAATCTCTTTCGACACTCTTAACTCATAAGCATTCCCACTCTAATATCTAAAGCTCGTGTCTGAACAAATGTCGCCATTCAACGTCACCAAAAAATGAGTGTATACTTCTATCCAAAGCATAAATTTAGATGTCAAGAGGCAACTTCTACGTTTTCGTAAAAGCAATACATTAACGCACTAATTATGTTCATATGTTATTGTTACTAATAATATGATCCAGAGGAAGGAAGACAAGAAACATTCATATTTGGTCTTTTCTATGTTCTTTTCCTTTGTAGCACAACAAGAAGGTGCTCCCATAGAACCAAGTCAAATATGTAATTAAGCATACACCATAAATAATTCATACTTCCAAATAGAATGATATTAAAGGCCGTACGTGAGAAAGGTACATTTTCACTTGATGTCTGATCTAACGTCATGACTTGAATAACAACAAAGGGTTGACATCGTTTCAATTTTATTAATTTTTTTTTTTTTTTTTTTTATTTTTTGAAGATCTACATGTAATTTCATAATTTAATCCTGTTTTATTAGCTTGATTGGTGCCTCGTCGGCACTAGACTACACCATATATAACCACTGCACAGTGCTCTCTAATTTACAACCAATTTGATCGATAACATCGGTGATTAGTTCGTTAACTACCTAGTTTCCTCCATTAACAAGAACAAAGCCTTTTTTCCCCATGGAGAGAGAACCCAATTCATATATTCAACTTCCCCCTGGTTTTAGATTCTACCCATCTGATGAGGAGCTCATCGTGCACTATTTGACAAACAAAGCAACCTTAACTCCACTTCCAGCATCTATTGTGGCTGAAGTAGATCTTTACAAGTACAACCCTTGGGAGCTACCAAGTCTGTATTGCATCAGCTACCAAGTTATTTTCCATGGTCTTTTTCATTTTTATTTCTATGGATCATCTGTTAAGCTAATAACATGTTTTCTTTTTTAAAACAGAGAAAGCTTTGTTTGGAGCAGAGGAATGGTATTTCTTCACCCCAAGGGATAGGAAGTACCCCAATGGAGTGAGGCCTAATAGAATGGCAGCTTCGGGTTATTGGAAGGCAACAGGAACAGATAAACCCATTCTCAATTCATATGGAGCGAAGATGATTGGGGTGAAGAAAGCTCTAGTTTTCTACGAAGGGCGCCCTCCAAGAGGAGTTAAGACAGACTGGATCATGCATGAATATAGATTAACGGAGACGATGATACGGACTTCCAAGCACAAAGGGTCCATGAGGGTAAGTAGATTCACATGATTTCTGAACTAATATGGCTTCTATTCATTTTAATGTGGAAGATAAGCAGAGAACTAGGAGTTTTAATTGCCTTCATTTTGGCTCATTCATACTACTTAAAGATAAGAGATTCACCTTTCACAAGGGCAAAAGAACTAGAAACAACTAACTCGTTTCACTCTTTTCTAAGCTAGGGCAGGGCTGATAGCACAGGCCAGATTTTAACAATTCATATCATGACACATGCAACATATATACATTTATAATGTAAACTTAAGATGGAAGAGTATATTGATATTTTTATAATTCATTTTGGCATTCAACATAAAATGTTATTGGAAGTGTTTTCTGCTACACAGTTGGACGATTGGGTACTCTGTCGAGTTCGGAAGAAAAGCAGCATCTTGAAAAAGAATTGGGAAGATCAAAACAGTTCAAACAGCGAACAAGATTATCATGTTCCAAAAGTAGAGAAGCCATGTTCTATGGATGCAAACGCGAGCCTTGACATGATCAGAGAGTATCTATATAAAGAATGCCCGATGTTACCTTATATCTTCACCTCTCCGGAGCTTCCTTCAATGGACACAGTTTCTAACAAAAGCTTTGAAGGTACAAAGGCTTATTCTTCAGTCCCACTTTTCAATGGTTTGTTTAATGCACGAAAGAGAGACCCCATTGAAGAAATTCGGTACAAGAGTTTCATTCAATCGAAGAAGAAGAAGCTAAACAACAGAGATGATCAAGAAGAGGAAGTTTTACTGTCTGTAAGCGATGAAAGCACTGAGATGAATTTCTGTAGTACAGAAAGCTACGAATGCAACAATTTCAATGCTAATCAATGGAGTTCTACAATCCAGTATCAAGAGCTCCATCACTTAGCCTTCTCGTGAGTTGACTAAGATATCGAAGGGCATGGAAACAGCATGTAGATGTTCGTAAGCAAGTAAATACGTGTGTCATGTAGATAAAGTTGTTTGAAGAAGTCGAACAAGTCTCTGGGACAAGAAGGTGGTAGACCAGACCAAATACAGTGATTAATTTCATTATGTATTAAACAAATAAACACAATGTAAATTATAGGGTATTATGTGTGGATTGCATTAATATGCAGAATATATGTGAATTCTGTGATTAGAAGTTCTAAGTATGTGAATCATCAGAAGCAATGTAATTGTATACAAATTTATTAAAAATTCTGTGTGTTGTATGTAACTTATAGATAATTGATTGGATGTGTTCAAGATATTTCATGATATATGCTACATGTCAGGAGACTCCGAACGTAATTTTGACTGACAAAATTGAAGATAAATGTTAAGAGAGGTGTGTGGAGAAAAGCTTCAGAAATAAGAAAGTAACTTGGAAAAAAATTGAATTAGAAGATATGCAAAAACAATAAAGAACTAAAATCAAAAAATCAAAAAAGACAGTTTGTTTGTGTGTGAGAGAGAAAATTGGTCGAATGACTTGCAAAGGAAAGTAAACTTACAGCCTACAGGTGAGGACGACGTTGAAGGAAACAGTAAAGTTGGTTTATGCTAAGGCACCCTTTGAATGAAGCTAAATGAGAAACTATTTACTTAAGTTGTAGCCCCAATTTGGTTTTGGAGACAAATTTTTTGACCCTTTTTTTTTTTTTTTTTACGGGTCATGGATCATATTTAGTACTTTCCTATAGTATGATATATAATAAAGACGTTTAGAATTTGGAGTGGGATATTGAAACATTGAAAATCCCAGAAAAGAGAGTGAGAGTTAGAACAAGAGGGTTTGGAGGCTAAAATTTGTAATCTCATAATTTTCGCATAATGAGACGTTTTGTCAGACTTGTGCCAAATCACACTAAATCTTCTTCTTTGTGTTTACATTTTTGTTTTGATGATTCGTAATTTGTTCTTGGTTCACTGCCATGCCGTAAAAAAGGCAAAACCACATTAGCGGTTCCCATAACTTATTAATAAAAATTAAAAAAAAAATTAGTTGGCTTAACTTATTTATTTTATCATTGTTTTAAGTCCAAATAGTCCTTGTTCGAGGACAATTATAGTCCAATTAGCTTAACGAAAGAAATTCTTGATTGTCCTGGGACCCTAGAAGTGGGACAAAGGCACTTTGGTTGCTATTGTTTTAGATACATCTTCTGTTGGATTTATTAAGTGATGATATTATTCATTTACTCCAAATTTCTTAGTTTCACGCCTAAAGAAAGCTCTTCAGCTAGGAAAGTGAATAAAGAGCACCGAGTGCTGGGCAACTCTTCCAGTTTCTAACCATTTTGACAGATTTAACAATTTCCTTTCAGGTGAGGTTGGCGTTCCAACTTAATGAATCACCAAATATCCCATCAATCTTTCAGTTTGCTGTTCCCATCAATTAGCATATGCTTACTGCATTTGCTTTGATGTAAAATAACTAAGGTTTGAGGCATCTAGAACAAAAATATACATATGAACCTGAAGACAAAAGGTGTAGCAAAAAACAGCCATATCATGTCAAACTGTAATTGCAAACTCAACTCTAACAAGTTTTTCAATTCCAGCTTCTCGTGGTGTAGTCTGTAGATGAATCCAAGTAGTGGTGTATCGGTGTTCACACACTATGAAGCTTAGATTCAAAGTTTTTATCGTATTAAAAGTATAAACTAGGGAAATAAACCACCACAAATAATAGATTACTAATACAGATATACCCAGTGCAGCCAAATTTATATTCGAAAGACGACTACATTTTTCAACAGCGAACAAAGATATAAATGTTGATAAAACAAATCAAATCCAAAATCAAGCACACACCAAGTCCTCAATCAATGCGAGCCAATCAATACCAGATCAAGCCAAGAAGATTCCGTTGCCCATGGTATCACTTTACTATTTCAGTACACTGCAAGTAAACACTCCATCAGAATGACTCATCTATACTAAAATAAAAAAATTGACCAGGCAACAAAACTTCAACTCAAACAAGTATAGAACAGATCTCATATGTTAAAAACTTTTATGGTCGGATATCAGAATGAGAACCTAACAATTCAAGCTAAGTAAATGAAGAAAAATATCAAAGCATATAACCGGTCAATGTAGCTTTGGGGCCACCCCTTACTCTACCATTATTATAGGGGTATGGGGTTCGAGACAAAGAATAAATTGCGTAGAATTTAACCTCCAGTACTCTCAGTTTTTCCCTTTACTTCTTCGAGGTAGGTAAGACACGCACCCATTACCCTTGTCTAGGCCCTTTTATGGTCGGATATCAGACTGAAACTAATAATTCAAGCCAAGTAAATTAAGAAAAATATCAAAGCATATCAAGGAGATACCCTTGGTCTAGGCCCTTGGTGGTCTCTCAGTTCATTTTCATATCTTTATATCTTTCTTCTTTTCTATATTTTTACTTTTGGGGGGCAGGGGGTGGTGGCGGTGGATAGGCAATCAGGGATGGGAACTAGGACAAGCTCAAACTTCGAAGACTAAAACCTGTCAACCAACATGCCTTACCATCCAGGAAGTACAGACGTTTCCCCTAGGAGAGCTGTGGAAGTAATTGGACACTCAATCACGCGAACATGCATGGAACACAGCCCGGACGCATCTAGAAGTGTCTTGAAATTTGAATATTTCATTTTTTGGTTGGACATGGCCAGGACACGGCATGGACACGTTAGGGAGACTTTCAGAATGTGGCGGAGTGGTTTTGTAACTATTTTTCTCAAAAGAATGGGATTCAATAAAATTTAAAATATATTATGGGTTAATTAAAAAAATAATATAAATTTTTATAAAACAAAATCAACAAACATCTAACCCTAAGCTCCAAATTAGTGAATCATTCATAATTATATGGGTAAAATGAGCAAAAATTATTATTTACATAAATATATAATAATATAGTATGTTATTATTTTTAGACATATCATACTGGATCCATCACCTATTTTTTTGAGATTTGCCATATCGTACTGGATCTATTTTCATATCCGTGTCCAAGTCGTTGTTTCCTAGCTTACCAAGTTACCACCAGTAAAGCTACTAGTTGCCATCTTCCCAAGTCAGATGATTTGCTAGTGCTCATAAATTCACCCTTCCATGAACGAGATTTTCTACTAAATTTCTCTAAGCAGGTCAGTTTTTTGCAAAATTATATCTTTTCCTTCCATTGACGGAGAAAGAAAAACTTACTTGTATAAATAGGCTGCAATTCCCAGAATTACACACAACAGAATAATATCAATGCAGAAATTTCGACTTGACCTCAGCTGGAACAAAATTCAGAACTTCTTGTTAAATCCAGGAAAGGAATCCACAACAGAGCACAGCAGAATATAGATGGAAATTTAAATTAAACATAGTTGCAGCATAAGTACCTGATTAACAGTGTCCTTGAGTCTAACGTTGGTATTCTTAAGGTCAGATGTTGCCCTGTCCACCTGTCAGATAAGAAGAAAAGCACTGTGAATTTTTTAAAAATCGTTGCAGCTTCAAAAACTTTCAAGAAAAGAACAAATTTCTGACCTTAGTGTCTATCTCATCCATCAGAGGGACTTGCTTATCCATTTCCTGCAACCATTGCATAACATAATGATCCAACATGATGTAATTGTAAGGAAACAGAAAATAAAGGAAAAGACATTAAACCTCATTCATATCCTGGGCCATGCTTTTTAACGTGTCCAGACCTTCTGCTATCACATCTAAACCTTGGTCCTGTGAAACATCAAAAAGAAAAACGATAGGAATTCAGGATCCACATTAAAAAATGCAGTAGAAATACCAAAAAGAATGTAAATTTCCTTCCATACAAACAAAACAAAAATGCATATTGCAAACAAGCACATACCTATTTCATTTTCCGCATTTCATAGTATACAACCAAAACAAAAATGCAATATACAATTCCAAGCAAACACATACCTGTTTCATTTTCCGCATTTCATACTCTTGCCTGAATTGACTTGACTCTTCAGTTTGCTGGAAGTATTCACTGTCAAACCGCCCATCTATGTATCAAGGGAAACACACAAGTGAGCCATAAATCAAAGAAAGCCTCATAGGAATATATATATATATATATATATATATATATATATATATATATATATATAATTTATGAGCTAAAAAGGTAAACTGATCACCTGAATCAAATTTGATTTCTGTACGAGAAGCTGAAGCTGCCCAGCCACCAGTTTGTTTAGGTGCAGCCGCAGTCCCATCAGGAATGGCCTGAATCCTATCTGGCAGTGCAAGGGCCAAGTCATTACGGGCAGTAAGTTCTTCTATTGAAAGCCCTTTAACCTGTAAGTAGGAAGTATTATCAATGCAGATGCCGGCCCAAAAGTAGTTAGTAAACTTAAACATGCTTACGTAGTTAGGTTGACATTTAAGGGAGTGGAGCAACAGAAACAGATGGAAGTCTCAGGAGGTCACAAAAATCACATGATCAGAAGCTAATGACTAGGCAACAGATTGGGCATGTGTAAAAAGTCCAAGAGAAGCTTAGTAGAAATGTCACTCATAAGGCCCAGAAATATTACTTAAGCAGTGTAAAGAGTCCATCTCAACATCACGAGAGCAGTATGCATCTTATCCAGAAAACAGTTACTATTTGACAGGTTGAAACTAATGTAAATCCATCTTTTTAGGCCCAACACTGACCGAATCCAAAAGCCAAACCATGTCCCGACTAACATTACACAGTCTGGCATGCTAGGGCCCTAGTATGCAAACTGGATTTTACTCTGAATTGATACATCAACATGAAGTTTCTTGATTTAGTAACAAACTTCATGTTTTCATCACAAGAGGAAAATCCATCATGCTTTACTCTAAATTAGTAAATGAAAATCACTAATATTTGAAAATCTAATTGCTTGAATCATTCACCAAATGCTTACGGGAGAATCCGATCAATATTTGTGGCAGGAACAAGATAACCTAAGCAGTCACTCATACATCACTACAGGACAGGCATCATATATGAATAGAGAATCCCACTCCTAACTTATGAAATATAGATTCATTCCCCAGTATGACTTTTTCAAGACTGTACAGTACATCGAAAGGTTTGCAGTTACCTTCTTAAATTCCCATACCATATTGAACTTGTTATTTGCTAAAATATTCTACATGTTTCCGACCTAAACATTGCAACTTTTGTTTGAACTTCTCCGACTTTCGGTGTTTCTAGCCCGTCTTCGGCTCTGGTACCAGCTTAAGCAGTTCAAATTGCAATGAGGGGCCAAAACCAAGCAAAGTTTAATGTTATCAAAGAACGTGTTGGCTAAAGGCAAATTCTTTAGTTATCAAAATTCACTTTTCAAGTGGTTAGCACTTATATGTATAAGAATTCGTGAACAGAAACCCTAATAACATGAAATTCTAGATCTTTACTATTGTAAACTTGGCAACCCAATGTAACTTGGTTTTAAAAAAGACATAAAAACCCACAATAACGACTGCCATAGTGTCGCGTTATGCTACTAATACAATACTCATTAATTAGTAACTGCTATGGTACCATGGATACAGCTGTAATTAGAATACTCGTCAAAAGTATTGGTGTAGTTCTTTCTTTTTACGCTCTAATGGATCTCAGTTAATGGACTCTATGGTAATGATGCAAATGATATGCATGTAAGGTTTGAAATACTGCAGGATAAGAGGAAAACTAGTTATGGGCCAACATCGTTATTTGGCAAGATCCTTTAGAAAAACTTGCTTATAAGATTGATATTGGGTGAGATTCAGTGAGCCTACTGGGTCAGTTGAAGTTCTAGTCTGTCTTGGCTACCACGATCACTTGACCAAAAAATTTCCTTAGTCTTCAGACAATCGTCCTCTATAATCTATATAGAATGATTCAAAAATAATAATAATAATAATAATAATAATAATAAATAAATAAACATATTACTTGACCTTTGGCGTGTGTGACTAAGAACCTAGGTGCGGTTGCCTAAACTTCCCTCTCTTGTTCTTCTCTTCTTTTTCTTAAATCTTCAAAATCTCTTCTTTGTAGCTATTCTGTCATAGTTTTGGTGCTAGAGCAAATATCCTACAGCAATAAAATTGTGAAAAAAAGAAAAAATATAGATGTGTCAGCATTAGATTGGTTTCCTTAAAGGGTCTACCTGATTTTGCCTATCTCACCACAAAAGGCCTTCACGTGCAATAACAAGGGATCTCTTTTGTCTTCTTCTTTTTTTTCCTAAACATAACAAGGGATATTTGGCTGGTGCATAATATGATCATGCAATTACATCCAAAACCACCTTTTCTCTTCCCTCATAAGTCATAACTATCCTGAAGGACCTGAACACATGTTATCTGACCCTTGTAAGCAGCGGTGGCAATTCGTGTTGGCGTGTCGTGTTCGTGTCGACAAGATTACGACACAAACACAATTAAGGTCGACACGAACACGACACGATTATTAATCGTGTCTAAGACCCTTAACACGAACACAAACACGACACGATTATTACACGTGCAACACGACACGACAAGCGTAACTTTGTTTAATAAATGGGTCAAAACTTGACATGACACGAAAAGACACGTTTAAGACATTTTTGACATGAGCACGACATGTTTATTTTACGCGTTTAGCTAAATGGGTCATTTTTTACACGAACACGACACGTTTAGTTAATCGGGTTAATCGTATCATAATCGTGTTTATAGGGTCAAGCACGAACACGACACGTTTAGTTAGCGGGTGAATCCGTGCCGACACGATTATGACACGAACACGATTAGCCCAAACCCAAACCCTCTTATTTCGTGTCGTGTCGTGCTAGCTTGTCGTGTCAAATATTACCACCCCTACTTGTAAGACCCCAATGCATGACCAAGAGCTCGCCCACCATAATAGTTTTTCTCCAAAGGTTGACCAACTATTCCCCATCCAAAGTCTGACTCCATCAAGTCATCTCAAAACACACCTCAAGCACCTTCAGAGGTGAATTAACCTTCAAATAATAAGTATGGATATTAACCATTGTGTAACCAAAAGGAGTGCTTGCAAAGAATAGTGTAAATGTGTAATTAAGTATAGGGTAAACTACAATGGACCTCCCCTGATGTTTGACCTAATTGCAAACAAACCTGAGATTTGCTATTTTTTTTGCAAAGACCCCCTTTGTCAGATTTGGTTGTGATTTTACTCATATACCCCAATTATTAAATTATTAAAAAATATATATATTTGACAATGTTAAATTACAAGTTTACCCATATTTAAAAACAATTTTTTTCTCCTCCTCAATGGCGTCTCCACCAATTTTTTTACCCAGGCCACCTCCTTCTACCACCCATCACCACCCCGAATATGTATGCACTGATTGGAGCTTGTTTGCACCGATGAAAGTACCAAAGAGATGGGAAAGAAGGCAGTGCCGATAGGTTGCAACTACCAGGGGATGAAGGCAGAGCTGAATGGATGCATCAACGACGCGAAGAGGATGTACACGTGTCTTATGGACCGGAACGGCTTCTCGGATAACGACATCACTGTCCTCATCGACACTGATGACTCCTGCACACAGCCCACCAATGGTAACATCCGCTATGCTCTCTCTGCTCTCATCCGATCGGCGAAGCCTAGGGATATCCTATTCGTCCACTACAGAGACCACGGCACCTGCATCCCTGTCGAGACTGGGGAGGATGACAACACCAGCCATGATGAGTGCATCGTCCTAACCGACATGAACCTCATCATAGGTTAGGTCTTCATCTTCTATTTTTATATAATTCACCTTTGAATTTTTTACAATTATACATACATGCACATTATATGAATTGATGAAGCTTTTGAGTCTGTCACTATTATCACTAAATCTCTTTGAATCGTCCTAGATCTGTCACCCCGTCACTTTTTTTATTTCGATTATGGGAGATCATTCATTTATATGCAATACTAAACACCCAATTTTTTCTCTCCTTCTTGTATTCAGTCCAAGCTCTGATATATTAATGGAGCTTACTGGTATTTAGATGAAGCTCTGCTCATGTAGCCGTTTAAAGAAAAATCCACAGCCACCTAATTCTTATCCAACAAGAACCCATCTCGGCCATTAAATTCAAAGCAAATGGTGACCATTTAACCTTGCAGCCATTAGATCAAGAGTGGGTTGTAAGCTACAAATTTTATCCTTTGGATCTGTGAAGCTCACTGATGCGTCTTTGGTAACCATCTGTGAATTAGATGTGTATATTGCTTTGGTATATGATTTCCTCTCAACGGCAGTTGCAATGCTTGTGTGTGTAAAATCAATGAGCTATATATAATTTTACATATATATGCCTGTACAAATTTCTTGTGTGTATATATATATATATGGGCAATAGAGGGAGAGGAAGAGAGAGAGAAGGGCATTTTTGTCCTTTAGAATAATTTTTTTTGTAATTTGATGACACTAGGGTTAATAGAGTCCTTTAACTTAATTAATGGGCATTTTGTGCACTTTAACCATTTTTTCTGACAAAAAGTATTGATTTTTGTACGAAAGGGAGGTCTTTGCAAAATGGAGCAAACCTCAGGGGGGCACGTTGCAAAAAAAATGCAAACCTCAGGTATATTTGCAATTAAGCCAAACCTCAGGAAGGTCATTGTAGTTTACCCTTAAGTATAGCAGCTATGTTACATGGACTCGGGTACGGGTGTCAGACACGGGTATGTATCCATGTGTCGGACATGTCAAATCTCTCAAAAGAAGGACACACGGACACGGCTAAATATTCATTTTATTAATTATTTTATTTTATTTTCTAGAGTAAAGTAATGTTTTTATCTAATATAATATTCAATATAGGCATTTAACTCTTTTTAAAGTAATAATATAATGTAATTGAATGATTGGATATATTTTTTAAGTACATGTCTAACCAAAAGTGTCAAACACATATCCCATACCCATGTCCGAGGGATATGTGTCCGACACGGGTACTTCACTACTTTTGAAGAGTCCATGTAACAGAGTATAGTAGTACAAAAATGTACTTTTTGGTCGCCAAACTCTCCTACTTGACTAATGTACTATTTGATAAAACTAAAAATTAGGTACTGAAAATGTTAAGAGCTAAATTTTAAGTATTGAAATTTTTTGCGCTAATTATTAATTAAAATATTTTGATTTTGATTTTATTTTAAGTGATCAGTGATAAGTAAAGTATCTATCACTTAAAATTTTATCTCTTTTTAAGTGACACTTATTCTTTTAAGTGGTATCCTTATTAGGATATTGAACGTATTTAATTGAATATGTAATTAATCTATTCAAAATTAAATATTGAGCTGAGTTATCAAATAGGATAGGCCCAACTAGAGTGGGAAAGGAAACCCTCAATCATGGCTAAATTATTCTCTGTATGTGAATCAAATTTGCAGCAGTCAATAAATAGTAACACTCGAGTAACTCCATTAGAGAGGTCCAAGTTACACCCAAGACTTTTCATCCATCCATTGGACCAATTCCCAATCCAGACTTGGTTTTATGCTTGTGGGTTTGCCAAATCTTTCCATGCATTCATGGACATGGCTGTTATCTCCATGTATGGAGTGTGTCTAGCAGACTTGAACACAAATTTTGCAGGAGATGTGCAATGTTTATGGGTGTTCCCCCGTAGAGTCATAGCACGGGCCAATTTACAATCATAAGAAATTTTAAGAAACCACGACAAAGAACTCTCCACATTGATTATTTATACAAATTTCTAAGAAATGGAGAGTTTAACAAGAACAAACTAAAAGGCCTCCTACCTAGTTCATGGGATCAAAGTTGATATTAAGAATGTGCAGAAATAAGTTAAATATGGGTGTGGAAGTCTTAGGAAGTTGGAAACTATTTGACTTGTTAAGAAGATGCAACTAAAAATCTCAAAAAATATATGGATCATTCCTTAAGTTAACCACCAAGTTCCTTGAAAACAAGGGTCTTAGATCCTAGAAGACTAGTTGAAAGTTATCCACCACCTTGAAATTCTCCCTTCGCTCTTGAATTTTTCTACATAAGCTTCCTGATCATCTTCACTCTTAATAGCAAACTATGGATGTTTAAATGCAACAATTCATGAGGATCAATTTCATATCCCAAAAGCTTACGAACAAATGAAATTAAATTGGTGTTTTCTTCACCAAAGTGGGCAATGCTACTTCCACGAGCACACAGATCTAAGTATTTATAAATTTTAATCAAGGAAAACAAAGTCAAAAGCGTCTATTGGTAGAACTACAAATAAATCTATTTATATACGCATATATGTATACGGACACATTCTATCATTAATTTTCTAATTATAATCGCTAAAATTGGAAGAAATTAAACCTTTTTTACGGCCAATCTCTGCAACTTGGGAACCTCCTCGAGCAACCGAGCCTTGGTCCGTCGGATCTCCGCGTTAATTGCAACAGCGGAAGCTCTATTCTTCTCCTTCGAAGCGGTCTCCGCTTTCTGAAAACCAAATTGTTCAGAACTCCATCTGAAAGTTTAAAATAAAAACCAAACCCTATAAATTAGAGAGAGAAAGTGAGAAAGATAAAAAGAGGACCTGAAGAGCGGCATCGATGTCGGCTTCGACGGCGGCGTAGAGGCGTGCGAAGGCGTCGTCGCCGGCGACGTTGAGATCTTTCTGTTTGTCGACGTCGTACTTGTCGTATTTCTTGCAGATCGCGTCGACTCTGGTGAGAATGTCGATCACGCTCATCTTTCTCTCTCCTCCTTTTTTTTTCTACTCGAATGTTCAGATCAGAGTAGAGATCGGAAGATTGTGTTCCGAGTGAAGAAAGCAATTGAGATCAAGATAGTAGCCAAATCCACTCACCAGTTTTAAAAAAACGGAAACCCAACACTGCTGTATGAAACCGTTTGTTCATTTTATTTGGAAAAAATAAAAAAAAAAAACTATACTTTCAAAATAGTGCATAGGGTAAAGTACAGACATACCTAGGGACGGTAATTTGACCCCCGCTTCGTAGTTACCCGTTCCACCCGGCAATTTGACCCGCCCCGTAATTACCTGTTCCACCCCGTCTAATTTTTGGCTATTTTGGGAAACGTTTTGCTTATTTGGGTGAGGATGGTTTGATGCAATAAAGACTTGCACGAGTTTGGTGCGGGAGAGGTCACCCCGCACCACCCTACCCCGTTTAGATAAACAAATTACTTAATTACTCTTATTTCATTAATATATATATTTTTCACTATATATTAATTACCCCATATTAAAGTAACAAATAAATTTTATTAAAAGGAAAGTTGTACCGGTGAAGAATTGAAGATGAGGGGAAAAAAAAAAAAAAAAAAGCAAATTCATTTCAATAATAATAAAATTATGGTCTTAAACGGGGCAGGGCGGGTACCCGCGGAGGTAAAAATGTTAAACGGTTACGAGGATGGGGTAGAAAGTTCCCCCATTTTTGCGATTTTGGGTGGGGACGGGGGCGGGGTTTTTAAACAATTGCGGGGGCGGGGGGAGGGTACACCCACCCAAACCCGCCCCCGTTGCCATCCCTAGCCACACCCCCTGAGATTTGACAAAAAAACACTCCGAGGAAATTTACTTGTTTTTTGAACAAAAACACCCCTTGAAGGTTCAAAAATAGACAAAGACACCACTTTACTTGAAAAACCAAATTACCCTTTGACCTTATATGAGACTTTTTTTAACTTTACAATTTAATAAATTGGACCAATTTACCTCATGAACAATTTATGCATAAAAAAAAACTTTATATTATTCACTTTTTTTTTTTTTTTTTTTTTTACTTTATAAATGTCCCAACTTCTTAAAAATGTAGACGTCTAAAATGATTTTTTGATCCAATACATATATTTCAAATAAATTATATTTTGTTATTATTTTTTTTCTTCTTCTTTTGTATTTTTAAATTAAGATACTTAATTATTTCATCTAAAAAAAATTAAACCAATCTATTTTCCTTAACAACCTTTTTTTTTAAAATAAATAAGTACGCCAGTATAAATAGGATGACGTGCCTCAAATCCAGCAGGTGAAAGGAAAATGAAATAGGAAAACACATACATACACATAACATAAACCACCAGACAATTGTCAAAAACTTTTGATTTATTTATCTATTACAAAAGGTTAACTCCATTTTTATATTGAGCTGAAACTAATCCCTACGCACATACACAATCTTATGCATCAGGTAACTCAGGAAAGAGTTACACTTAAAATGTCTCAAATTGTTGATTTCTTTGAGGTTTCCAAGAAATTATTGATTTCCTCAGAAATTTTGTTGACAACTTTACTCTTCTACATGGAGGCAATCAAGAAAAAGGAGCTAGAAGTACTTATTTGAAAAAAAAGGTAGTTAAGGAAAATAGATTGGTTTAATTTTTTTAGATGAAAGATTTAAACATCTTAATTTAAAAATAAAAAAGAAAAAGAAAAGAACTAATAACAAAATATAATTTAATTGAAATATATGTATTGGATCAAAAAATCATTTTAGACTTTTTACATTTTTAAGAAGTTGAGGCATTTATAAAGTAAATAACAAAAAAAAAAGGTGAACAATATAAAGTTTTTTTAAAATTTTTTATTTTATTTTATGCATAAATTGTTCACGAGGGTAAATTGATTCAATTTATTAAATTGCAAAGTTAAAAAAGTCTCATAAATGGTCAAATGATAATTTGATCAATTTCTCATATAAATGGGTGTCTTTGTCCATTTTTGAACATTCAAGGAGTATCTTTGTCCAAAAAATAGGTAAGTTTCCTCTGAGTGTCCTTTTGTCAAACCTCAGGGGGTATGGCTGTACTTTACCCTAGTGTATAAAATGAATCAAATTGGTCCAAACTCGTAATCGACCAGATAACTAAATCGTGAAATGACAAATTTAATCTTACTATTTAATATTAAATTAAAACTTAAAAATATTTTTTTAAATAATGATTTTACCCCTTCATTATTTAATCCAAATTAACCAACACTGTAGCGTTTTTTATTTCAAACACAACTTATATACATGTATCATCAATAATCAGATTTGTCCATCAGTCATTGCCAAAGAAAAAACACCTTAAACCAGAAAGGAATGAGCAAATTTATGGTAATATATTTGAAAAGATAGAGCAAATTTATGTAGTTTGACCAAAAAATTCCGGCAACCCCTATTAGGAGAAAAGGGTCATCTATTCTCACTCAATTGGTGTCGGATTTCTTGGATGTACTACAGAAAGTCGGCGAGTGTCTTGCCGCCAATATGAGCACCTGCGTTAAACTTGAAGAACACAAAACCATATAGGATTGGAGAGAAATCTGGAGGGAGTAGATTGACGAATTCAACGGAGAAGAGGTGTGGGGTAGTCGGGCGTACCAACGAATGCAATCAACAAGAGAAAACAAGGGAGGGAGAACACATTGCCGTTGTTGCTGTTGTGGAAGACTAGCGTGTGAGTCCTTAACGCACTCCGATTCTGCAAAGTTGAATAACGAGTCCAACCACTGTAAAGATAGCCTTCGTTAAGATAGTCTCGAACAGCTGGTCAGTTGATATATATAGCACAAAAACCAATTCAGTGGGGGTGGAAAGGGCAAGTTGGACCCCTCCTTTCAGAGTTGGTATGGATGGTTCCCCAATTGTCGGAAGATTGTGAGAGGATCAGAGACTTGGGGTCAAAGGCAGTGATAAAACAATCTGGGGTGTGGTTTTGTTGGTAGTTTAGTTACATAATGCCAATTATTGCTGCCATTTTATTTATTTATTTTTTTTTGAATCTCAATGCTTACTTTGTTTAAGGGAAAAAAAATGATTGTTCTGTTTATTTGATGGGTATGGGTTTAGGGAGAGAAAGGTACAGAGAGAGGCGAAAAGGAAGAAGATCACCACTTCAAGGGTTAAGGGGGCATTTTTATAATTTTAAAAATAATAATTTTCAAATCTTAATTTAATATTAAATTATACGGTTAATTTTGTCATTTTACAACCTAATAAACGAGTCGGTCACTGGTATAAATAACTTGATAGTTTTTTTTAGTTTAAGGGATGTTTAATTTTAGTGGGGTTTTTTGTATTAAAATAATAGTATAGAGGGGTTATGTGATTTTATCTCTTGTATATATTGTTTTCATATTTATATTGATAGGGAAAAATAACCTACCTTGACCAGCCGTCAGACCTCTTCGACATATTTCGTGATCAGAGATAAAGATTTCTATCGGATAAGAATGATGGCATTTCTTATCCAGGATAATGAATGACGACATGGTTCAACAGGGTGAGGATGACCTTAGCACAATTTGAGAAAGTCAAAAAAGTAAATCATATTCCCGACAAATCAAGCAACAAAAGAACTCCTCTGATTTCGCACAAGCGGATCTCCCGCAGGACCAATATAATTCCAATCGACAGCCATAAATAGGGCACCAAGCCATTAAAGAAGGTACGAGAAAAAAAACCCCTAAAGAGAATATACATAGTTATTATGTGATACGATTACAAGTACTAACTTGATCGTTGAAGGGTCCTTGGCTGGCACCCCACCGGTGCCATTTAAGATGACGTCCCTTTGTTTTGTAGGTAAACGCCGTCGTTCCGAGTCATGAAGATTTTCGCATCAACAGCTGGCGCCGTCTGTAGGAACCGATTAGTTATATGAAGAAATAATAATCCTTGTGCGACTTGGCTCGGACGGCAAAACGAAAGTTTCCGATCATGGAAACCATCCCAAAGTCATTAGTTGACAACGGGTTTCCATGTTCTTATATAAGGACGGGTCTCTACATCATCATTACTTGTCCATTATACTGAGGGCAGAATGGTAAGTTGCGTGATGTCATCCAGTGTACGATGACAATAATCAAAATTTGGCACGTCGACCCAAGCAATCCAATGTGGTGTTTTCCATCTAGAGATGCTTGGTCCCCTCACTACTAAGGTTTGGTCGTTTAAGACCAGACTCTATCTCATATCGGGCAGCAGCCAATTACCAAGGCCTGATCGTTGAAAACTAAGGCTTCGTCCTCCTGCACCTACATAAATGGGCAGGTCTCCACCCATCAAGAAGATCACTGCCAACAAAGGGGTCTCTACCTACTAGTAAAGCCTCTACTACTGAGGATGTCTCTAGTAACGAAGTCTCATTACTCCATCCGTTCGTGTAATCAGGGTGCCTTCTACATCCAAGAATGTATCGAGGCCTTCAGGTCCAAAGAGGTCCAATGTCCTTCAAGATCCCATGTCCAATGAGGTCTGTATTCCCAAGGAGGTTCCTAAGTTAAGGGCGATCATTGGACCTAACGAGGTACTGGCCACAAGACCGTCATCTGGTACTAGCCACCAGATCGTCATCTGTCAGTCGTTGGGTACCATGCCCCTATCCACCAGGCATCAGGCCAATCGCCGGACACTAAGCCTCCACCTACCAGACGACAGTCATTACCTCTTTTCCCTTACAGGAATTGCCTATCGACTTCAGATTATGCAGAATTTTGGATTGATAATCCATTGCAGGTTAATTTTCAGTAATTATTTCTAACACAATCTAATGTTTTTAGACAACTGTAAATTGTTGCAGCACCAGGCACTCCATCCGCTGTATAAACATCTATAGAATGGGTCATCACCCAAGATCCCATCATCGGGGGCAGAATAGTGGATCACACGATATCAATCATCGATCTATATATAATGACAAGGTCTAGAAGATTGACGTACCGACCTTGGTACATCGAGCTATTCGGGTTTCTAATCTTTCTCCTTTAGCGACCCCTCAAGGGCATTAGTCATCTAGGACGAGAGGCCAATAACACATTTTTTCCCTCATTAAAGGGACAAGAAACCGACTACTTCTTCTACACAAAAGGGTGAGACAATTAAAGTTTCCTTCATTTAC